CTCTTACTTAAGCCACCTCCAACTCAAGCTGAATAACTCGGAAAGTTTCAGTTTCTCAAATGCCTGGTGTAGACAAACAAGTTTGGTGGTGTCTTGGGTGTGTTTAAGCTATTCTATATTCCCCTAAAAAAAGAATAACTTGCTGTAAATTTTCTTCCTAATATTTCCATAAGTTAATTACAGTGAAAAAATAAAAGACCTAAACAGGAAAGTCATATATAACAAAAGTAAAAAAACCTCACCATATTTACAGAGAATACACAAAGATAAGATATCAATAGATTGCATTCTCTACCCTAGAATGTTTAAGTGGCAGGGGAAGGTGAATAAAGGCTTTTTGTATAATTTCTTCTGAGCAATATATGGTGGAAAAAAAAAATGAAAAAAAAAATAATAGATACACTAGCTGATCTGGTTGAAGATGTCCCTGCTCATGGCAGGGACCTTTAAAGGTCTCTTCCAACCCAAACTATTCTATGTTTCTATGATCCTGCGGTCTTTGTGTTGATATTGCTCCTTTGCTATAACGTACACTGCTCCTTTTTTTGCATTTTTGCTAAAAGTGATGGATTTCTTTATTGGGCCTTTTCATGTACATTGTATTCAGAGTGGCCATGTTAAATCTTTGAATTTAAATTTGAACCAGAGGATAATACATTCTGATTGTCATAATTACCTTTAATAATACAAAGAGCTCAAGTCAAAATTGGAAATACTCTAGGTTAAAAACACCACAAAAGGTAACTACAACTGGTTTTCATCAGTGTAAAAATAAAGCAAATTGTTATGACAGATCCTTGATTTCTTTCGTAACTTGGAGTGCAGTTTCATGGCAGAAATAAAGTTTTTCTGTCCTAGGTAGTATGCATGGCAAAAGCAATGAAAAAATGCTAATCCACGTTTCAGTTGCTAGCTAGCAAAAAACTAGCGTAGTCATTGCCTATCCATACAGTACTTACTCTTCCTGCTGCCTTATAAGTATGCCTTTGGAATAAATCCTGTCCTTGGTACGTCCTTTCAGCAATGGTAAAAAAATTTGCTTTAGAAACAAAGTCCTTCCCCACCCCCATCTGCTGTACAGCACAAAACTGCTTGAGGCTTGAATACAACCAAATACCTGCAAATACATTTTATTGGGACTGATCCTGCATGCATTTTGAATAATTGAAACTGATGGAACTATTTGCGTGATTAAAGATAGAGACCTAGCAAGGTGCAGAATTTCATCTTGTGCTGTCAGGGCTGATGATAAGAAATTAATATGAAGCACTTGGTACATACTTTTTCACCTCCCCAGTTCTAGGATTGGTTCAGTGGCTTTGGTGATTGCAGAAAAATATAGCATCACTGGAGCTGGAGTGTTTATTTTCTTACTCATTACTTTTCCTTGCTCTTGCAGGACAGATTTAAGGTGTTTAGCAGTTGTTTTGATAGTATAAGAGTAGCTTAGCAGGCATGAAATTCTGGACAGTAAAGTTTATCTACACAGCAGTTTCACTGTTATTAAGTTCCCCACACAGTTTGAGGATGATTCGATGATTCACAGTTCATTGATTTTGGTATTTAAAATTTATTAATTCATATAAATACTCTTCAGACAGTTCACATTGTTCTTAATACAAATTTAAGTTCTCTTTAGGCAATCAGTGAATTCAGTATGCTCAAGGAACTTAGTAGACAGAAAAAAAAGAAAAGAAAAAAAAGAAAAATTAATTACCTGGTTACTTCCACAACCTCTCATGAAATCTCCTCTTCAATGCTTTGGTGGAGACAGAGCACTTGAAGCGTAATGGTAGAGGCTGTCAAATCAAAGTTTTGGCAAACTGGCAGCTATGAGAACATACACCCTTTTTCTCTTCCTTTCCAAGCTATCTGCTCCATCCAACTCAGCAGTGGCATGTTAAATGAATTCCCAACCTTGAAGAGTCTGGATTCTTAACAATACACGTTGTATTTAATATGCACATGCAAAACAAGTTATAAAGCACCTCTTATATTTCAGTAATACCTTTTTCAACAGTCATCGGGGCCAGCAATAATCTAAGTTTAAATAATAAACTGGATACATCTAGAGGATGAGCTAGTCAACCAAAGACCTGAAACATTGTCTTGAAGTGCCTTTCTCTTTTTATCCATTATCCAAAAAATCAGTTTGGCACCTAACTAAAGTGTCTCAGCGATGTGGAGTGGAATTGAATCTAAGCTTTTCTGGTCATAGTTTTAGGTAGAAAAATATCTGAAGATGCTGAGTTTACAGTAGGCTAAAACATGTTGAATTACCTCACTGTTTCTATCGACTAAGAGCATGCATATGGACCTTGTGGTGCCAAGAATCTTAATTGATAGTAACTTGATTGTGTATTTGATAACAAAGTCAATTAACATAATTAAATAGTGTCATATCTGGTGATTGAGTGCACTTCAAACGTACACTGTTTCACAGATCCGAGCTTACATGACAGCACTGAAATGCAGGCTTTTGCAAGTCATGTCTATTTCTTGCCATATTTGAAAAGTAGGTTTTGGGTAAACTCATAGTATTTCTCATTTGTAGTGCTAAATTCAGTTTTATCCAGATTGCATCTGCCTTTGTAGGATTGGCTTATCTCTCTGCTTATTTGACCTAATCACATCTTCCGATGGTGCAGGGTGGCATACTCCCTGCTGAATTGTGAAAGTAGTATTGCTTTCTGACCGCTGATGATACAGGACTATATTTATGCAAGACTTGAAATATACCACAGAAACTATTTAGATTAGGATTAAAAATATAATAATACATATCATATATAAACAGATAATGGTAATGCTCTTTTGATGCATATTTAATGTAGCCAGAGATTACATTTGTACTCTTTTGTGCTGATAGTAACATCCAAAACAATGTACTGAACTCTAAATTATTTTACAAAAAGGGAGAGAAAGTTTTCTTGGGCTATCTCTGTATCCTTCCTTGGAAAACTAGGGCACTTTTCAATACCCAAATATTATGTCACCAGATTCTACTGAAAGAGTAATTAACAGAGAGAAAAAAAGTTTCATCTTCACTGATTTTTTTTTTTTTTTCTGCAAAGATGTCTTAGAGGAGAACTCAAAAACCTGCTTAATAGTTTGATTGCTATTTCATGACACCCAGCCCCTTTCAGTCACATATCTCCCTGTTGTCTGAGAAAAAGTAAGATTTATGGTGCATCTGGAGCCTTAGGACAGATTTTCATCATGATAATCATAAAATGAAAGGGCAACCTGAAAAACCACTTACAATACAGAAGATAGCTTTTTTTGAACTTAATACCATTTGCTTGTTTTTAAAGTCTGTAATTTCCACTCACATTACTGCATTCTAATTATTATCCTTCTTAGCTTTTGTTTCTCATGAAGATTAAAATGGTCTGTTTGGTGTGTTCAAAGAAGTGACTACAGAAAAAGGTAAATTAATTGGAAGATGTCAGCTTACGAGAACGTTTTTGACATGAGCGCTGTAAGGCTGTTAACAAACAGACTGACTCATTTGTCTCACCATGAAATGAAAATAAAAATCACAACATTATGATAAAATCTTGACTAGGAAATGCCTGTAAGACTCTTTGAAGCCTTAGGTTCTTTTCTTCCCTGGGCTTTAGCACCGTGATGTATGCAAACCACGTTCTACATAACTGTGAAGTGAAATAGGTTCTATGCAGAACAGATGGACCAGGGCTAATGTGGCGATGTGCACTGGAGATGAGAACAGATTAATGCCACAAGGGGAGACTGGAGGAAAATTGGGAAGATGGGGGTATTTGAACTAATTCATGAATCATTTTCAACTGATAGTTATGCCTTCAGGCACGGTGAATAATATCAAGGAAGCATATTGAAAATTTTATAAGTTTGTTTTAATGTAGATTAGAATGAAGAGCCATGCTTTTGGACGATTTAAAAAAAAATCTTGTATTCTCCCCCTCCCAGAATGTACCTTTGTGATTTAAATGTCACTGATGAGCTTAATTATGTGCACTATGACATGAATGGCTGTTTGGAAAACCCATGGCAGATTCGTGGACGTGGCACAAAGCTTGGATTTTTTGCAAGAAGCACCGCATGAGCTGGGAGAACATGCTCTGCCACATGCATCCAAGCCACAGAGATTTAGCTCTGCAGTGTCTGGAGGCACGGTCTGAATGGATCTCATTCAGGTGTCTCTCTAAGTTTCCCCGTCTTCATTTTACCCAAACAGCCTTCAGTCTTGTGAGGTTCAGACTTCCCAAAGCTGTGCCAGAGCAAGCACATGTAGATACCTACGTCTTTGAATGAGATCTTCAGTCATACATTACAGAATGAGGCTTTCAGCAGAGACATTTCACATGACCAAGTTGTGATACTCTTGCTAATGGGTTTTTTACTCTAGGACGCATAATGACACAGAAATAAATAGGTCCACCTGCGAATTAAAAAAAAAAAAAATTAACATGCATAAAACCATCAGGATCTGAAACAATGAAGATACTTGAGAAATATGTAACTTCCCAGGATCAGTGAGAGTATCAGTTTTGTTTATGGGAGGAAAAGCACGATTCCATATGTTCGGAAGTCAAAGACTCTACATTTTGCAAAGCTCGGAGTATATGGATGAACCTGATTACTATTATTCATAACAGACATGATTAATAGAAGGAAAAAGAAACTGTGAGGAAAGGAAGTGTATAGTTAATTGTCTGGATGCTCCACATTCTCTATATGACTTCTCAGGAGATTATTTTCAAGTTATCAAGCTCTCGAGGAGGATGTGAAACAGTTGACAGTGAGGGGAGATTTTGAGAAATCTAATGAAGACAGCCAGTTGAGTTTGCTAGTAAGGAAATAATCCACACGGGTTTCTGTTCACCAGCACAGGAGATGCTGTGTGATTCCTCTTGTATAGAGTTCTTTCATTCTAGGCAAGGCTCAATAAGAAAAGAAAGGTATAAAACGCCCCGCTCACCTCAAACTTGACTCTCATTCTGCTCATTTCATCGCAGGTTGCGAATCTGGCCTGTTCAATCTCCAATAATGAAGAAGGTGTGAAGTTGGTTCGTATGGCAGCAACACAGATTGATAGTCTGTGCCCACAGGTAAGCAAGATTCCTGTTAGAAAGTACTTTTTACTCTTTTAGCATTAAAGAGCATCATACCTGAGACAGGGAAAACAGCCTGGATGAAGATTATAGCCTTGCCGTTGTCATTACAGTTTTGCCCGCTTCCCACAAACTGTGAAAGATACATTCGTTCCTTGAGACCTGCGTACCGAAGGGCGTGTAATGCTGTATTTTTAAGACAGTCCGTAATCTGTTTGTTCTTTCCCTTGTGAAAAAAAAAATTGCCGCTCCTCATAACAAATGATTTTGAATAACAGGTGATAAATGCTGCACTCACGTTGGCTGCCAGGCCCCAGAGCAAAGTCGCGCAGGACAACATGGACGTCTTTAAAGATCAGTGGGAGAAACAAGTGCGAGTTCTCACCGAAGCTGTTGATGACATCACTTCAGTGGACGATTTCCTCTCCGTTTCAGGTACTGGGATCAAGGGACTCTTCTAAAAATATACTGCTAAATTAAAGTAATGGGTCGGAGCAGAGAAAAGCTCTAACTACTAACGCATCATCAGTCCATTAGTCTGTCCTTATTAGAATGCTGATCTACACTTAGTAGGAGCAACCAAGCCATGCCAATTAATCCCTAGTAGCAATAGTTAGCTTTTCATCTCCCGGAAAATAGCATCCTATTTGTGCTGCTGTTCCTAGAGAAGTTTTGTTTCGTCTCGGGCATAAAGTAGGATTTTGGCCACCTTTTAAAGATGTATTCCAGACCCGTGCCAGGCTGACAGTAGTAGAACTGCTGGAGTCCTCGTGCGGTTGTAGGCAAGAGGAGGAAAGATAAACTTTACGCTGTTTTGTAGCTTTGCTCAGATCAGCTGTGTACAAAGAGCAGGGCAGATGTACCATCCAGCCCCTGATCATCCGCACCAGGTAACCAGGCCGTGAAGGTAGATGGGAAGAAGGGAAATAGGCAGGTGCTGCATGAGAGTCCCAGCTATGTGTGTTGTCTGGACTAACGGTGCGTACGCTTCCAGAGAGCTGAGGAGCGCTTCGGGGTCCCAGGGTGCAAGCAAATGGAGAGAAGTAGTAAAGTACCATAAGGAATAGCAAATCTTTGCACTTCTCTGACCTCGCTAGGAAGGTTTACAATGCAAAGCAAGCTCTTCTACAAAAACAGGCAAAGTATTTTAGTCCTTACATAAATAGAGGTAGAGAAGAGAAGGACACTGACTCTTTGGGTCACAGTCTTTTCTCCATCCTCCTTGTAAAGTACTCCAACTTGTTCCAGAGTGTATTGTTATAATCATATGTATAGTCATACACAATGAACACTATAATTGTCAAGTGCTGCATGTCTTGGGTTAATTGTGTGCTGCAGAAAACTCATTTTCCTATTGTGGTCTGAAAGAGGTGGATTTCATTGTTGTGAATAAGCACATAGCGTGTGCCAGGTGTCCTTGGCTTACTCTAACATCACAGAAGAGCCCAGCTTCAGGAAATAGCTTGGCCTTGATTTTATGTTTCATTCTACATTCTTTTCTTTGACATTTCCTAATAAAAGCTTAACATCTTTGGAGAAAAAAAATATTTATCCTTTAAAAAAAAATCCTTAATATTCCTTTTTTCCCTTTATTTTGTTTGGTTGTATCCCGCTATAATAATAGTAACGGAGTCGTTTGGTTTAGTATAATTACAGGCCACCGTTCAACATCACTGCTAGAGTGTTTACTGCAAGCCATGACAAGAAAATTAAAATGAACTCTCAGAATAACAGGATACTTCAGAAGCTGGTAGCACTTAAATTTTTATTAAAACTTGAAGGTGGCAAGCACTTTTCAAGAGACCTAGTTCTACAAGGAAAGGGCAGACCAAGCTGTAAACTGCAGACCCAGTCCACAACCAAAAGAGATGGCAAACGTGCTTAAATGGCCATTTGGGTTATTTGTTTGAGGACTTTGTTCGCTCCAAGCATTTGTATCCATAAAGTCAGAAGTTTGAACAGATGAAGTTTTTATTTTTTGTTTTTCTCAAATCATATTTTCTTCTAACGTAGTCTTGACTTATCCACACTTCCCAAGGTACCTGAGAAGTAGTATTTCTGTTGGGTTTAGATTTTTTCCTGATAGTGTCCATAATGTCTCTATCTATTAAGAATTAGAAACATTTCCTGTATCTAGAAAGCCCGTTGCTGCTAGCTGTAAGCTTGGGAGCCTCAGCTTACACCGAGCACTTTTATTTTTGCATGTTAAACCACTGAAGCGTTCAAAATGGGCCAGTGGCTGGTTAAACATACTTCATGAAATGACACCTCCTCCTCTTCATATTAAGCATCACATTTGATGGCATTTGTTATTAATACAGTGGCAACCAAAAGAAGGCTGACCGTAATTTTAATCAGCTACCTTATATTCCAACCACAGTGACTGTTCATATTGAGAAAGTACTTCTTGTTGGACAAAATTTGGCTCTGTCATGGTAAAAAAAAAAGGCAATGGTAGGGAGAAAATGTGAAGAAATATTTTAGCAAAGCAAAATGTTTAAAATATGGATAGAGAGTTTTTTAAACAAAGAATGTTGCCTTGCAACTTACTCTGATTCACAGCTGAGAGATTTCCAGTTTTCAGAGTTGTTACAGTTCAAAATTCAACATCATGTAAAACACTTCTGAAACCCTCAAATGATCTAACCTTGGGATTTTTAACGGTGAAGGTTAGTGTATCATTCTATTTTTTTGGCCAAGGATAATTAACAAAAGGAGTTGGTGAACTGATGATTCTGTTTTATTTATTACTACTACAAAGACCAGCATTTAATTTTCAGTTTAGTGGTGTCTGTGGCAGAAAAATTAGTTGTTGTTTAGAGTCACTGAGTTTAATCTTAGAGTGAGTTTGCTCAAATATGAAATTCAGTCTTAGTTTTATTATTGAAATGATTTTTAACTGTACTAGCTTCAGGGAAGTAATGTCTGAGCTAGTCAAAATCCGCTTCGTTTCACATTATCTGTATGTGAGAATACTACATAAACTATGATGCTGCAGCATGTGACTAGACGGCCTGATTCTGATCCAGTGCAGCTCCCAAGATTTCAATAAACCTACCTGATATTACATCATCTGAGCAGACTCACTGTTGTCGACTCTTATTTCAGAATAAGCACAGTCACGTACGATTACACTGTGTGTCATGAAAAATTCACACCTTATTCTCTGGCGTAGATGGAGTAAAGGCGATGAACAGCTTGTGCACAGGCTCCCTGCTTCTACAAAAGCCATTTGCTATTGTCTTTTCAAAATACTTTGTTTTCTTTTCTAACTTATTTAGGCACAAATTAACCAAATATATTAAATGTTTATAGGAATGTGTAAAGTAATCTTCAGAAAATTGCCCAACTGTTTATAGAGCATAGGCATAATATTTGACCACTTTCCTTTTTACGTTGATTTTTGTTACACTTTCATTATAATAAAATTGAGTGTGATGTTTGAAATTAATGTGGTGGTTTTTCAAAGAATTACAGGTTGGTACTCAGAGTATAGGTGAGAGGACGTAGCCCAGTCCCTTTTAAAGATAAATATCACACTTGGGGCTTTACTGTTATCTGGCGTAGTATCTCAGAACAGTATTTGTTTTGCAGAACTGGGTAAGGACAGATATAAATTTTTTAACATGCTGACGTTTACCATTTACCCAAACCAGTAAGCTTTGTGATGAGGGAGAACAAAATGAAATGGGCCTTATTTTTTTTTTTTCCCCCTTACATTCCAGAAAACCATATTCTGGAAGACGTGAATAAGTGTGTGATCGCCCTCCAAGAGGGGGATGTCGATACGCTGGACAGAACCGCGGGTGCCATCCGAGGCCGTGCAGCCAGAGTTATTCACATCATTAATGCAGAGATGGAAAACTATGAAACTGGAGTTTATACTGAGAAGGTACTGGAAGCTACCAAACTGCTCTCTGAAACTGGTAAGCTTACTTGAAATATTGCTCAATATTAAGTCACTTAAAACTTTCAGTTTGTTCTCTGACATCTGTAACTCAGAGGGGAACCTGTGCTTGAAAACAAGTTATAAACAAAGAAATTAATGACCATGAGTGTTTCTTTTATTCTCTACTCAATGCTATCACAGAAGTCAAATTGTCAAGAGCTGTACAAGAGAGGAGACTCAGTAACCCATCAAGGCTAGTCTACTTCATCAAAGATTCAATGATTTGAGTAAATAATGCAGAGCCTTTTCTTTAAGTTCTTTCTGAGTTGGTTGATTATGTATTACTGTCTCTAGAAAGTGACCGAAGTTGTGTTTCTAAACAAAGCAATTTTTCATCGAAAATATATTTAAGCAACTGAAAATATATTTTCTGATTGAAAAAACATACAAGTCTGCTAGATTATATAAAATATACAGGTTATATGAAATAAACAGAATATATAAAACCAGAAAAGTCTGCTAGATGAATAGACTGGGGGAAAAAAACTGATTTTTTTCCTTTTAACCTGTTTTTGCCTTCACGGAGTAGGGGCTGGATCCATCTAAGTGTAGGTGATTACATCTAAGCTGGTCATTTTAGACTCCTTTATACTCAGTATTATCTCTAGCTATGTGCATCTGAGTTTTTCGCTGCAGGCAGTACTATCAGGTGCTCACATCTTAAAGCGGTGGTCTACAACTGTTCAGACGATTCATGCTTTGAATTTCATTGGCTTGACTGACTGGGTCTCTGCTCACTGTACAAGTGACCAGCTATGATACAGATGCGCGTAGTGTAGATGTCTGGAAGTATCTTGAGTTGTTCCTCCCCTATCTGGCTGCACTTGCTCAGCTGGGCTTTAAAGTCATCAAGATTATTTTAGAAGGAACAAATGAGACTGCACCAGTTCAGGACATGGCAGATGTAACGTTTAGACAAAACAGCCGTCTCCCTATGAGAGAGAAAACCAAAAATGGTTGTAGATCTGGCAGCCTCTTACCTCTTAGCATTGAGAACAGAAATCAGCAGAATGAGCTACAAAACATGTTGGTATTTAATATTATTTGTGTTATTGTCGGCCCCAGCTTCTAATCTTTTAGCCCTAAAAGGGACCCCAAGCCCTAACGGCACAGATAAATCCCAATGAGCAAAATCATGAATTTATTTTTTTTCTGACCTTTCACTATGATTCATTGGAAATTATAGCTGAAGTGTGGATGCTTGCAATGGTGTTATGACTGGAACGTTATGCCCTGAATACTCAAAATGCTTGTATAGTCACACCAATGATTCAACGCTGGTAGAAATTAACTTTCAGAGATTCTTTCCTGTGAGCTGCAGAGAGATGTTTTTGGGGAGAGGTCAGAAATCAGTAACATGACCTTCAGCCTATGGTACACACTCTATTTGGCTCTACACAGCTATTTCCTATGCAACATTCATGTTCACTTTACAGCTGGGTCATCCCAGAGGGTCGAGTTTTGCCCTTGTACAGCTTGAGGATAATGCAAGAAGGTTAGCTTTTTTTTTTTTCCCTTGAAGTTTAGTGATTCTGTGTCATGTGGTTTTTTAGGTGAGAGAAGAAAAAGTAGACACAAATTTATTATTCCCCATGTTTTTTACTACCCAATAAGAGATTAATCGAATGAATTTAGCTTATTTTAAAAAGTGTATGAACTGGTGTTATGAATTCACAGGAAGAAAATAATCTGTTCAGTTTGATACAGTAAAATATTTTGTTGCACTCTTGTGCTAAAGTCTCCTTTTGATAAAGGAGAGATTTTGAAGAACTTCCTATCCCTAAGATTTTGTTACTAAGCAAAACAAAACATATCTTCAGGCTTCTTATTCAGCTACAATTCTGACCTAATATTCTGTAAAAAAATCTATTAATTATTTGACAGAGTAACTGACAGTTCTAAAGCATAGTTATATAGATCAGTTATAGGCACAGTAAATACATTCCATATTTAATGCACTTTTTAATATAACTTGAATTATGACTAAGTGCATCTTGACAACATCAACTTGTAATGCTAGAATGCAATCCTTAAGACAGAGTCCCTGTTCCTCAAAGCTATTCTTTATTTTGTATGTTGTAAAATGCAAGTAAACTTGTGAGTAATTAAAAAAAAGATAAATCATATTTTAAATGTTAAGAACTGTACAACATGTGAAAATTGTGCAACAGAAGTTCAGAAGACAGAATGGGCTCAAATTCAGCGGAGCCAATGAAGCTAAAACAATTTATGCCAGACGTGAATGTGGATCGTTACATTGCAGCACAATATCTACCTCCAGCTTTTCAGGCCATTTACAAAGGCTTTGATTATTATTTCTCTATGATTGTTGATTAAAAAAGGTAGAATTTACTGGCTTATTTTTTTGCCCTAGAATAAAGTGGGGAAAATGGTATTTAGACCACCCTACGCCATTCTGTGCCCTGCCCATTCACACTCTGCCCTCTCCCCCAGAACTGGTCTCTGCCTACATACCCACCAGTGCAGCTATGGACAGAGAGCTATGAATACATGCATCTATTTACATATTCGTTTTATTCATCACCTTGAGATCCTGCACAGATTTTATCAAACACTCAAAAATATTGAGTGTGGTTTATTTAGAGTCAGGCTCCACCCACAGATAAACATACCAAAATCTCTGTGAGAAACACAATGATGAACGCCTTATTTTTTCATCTTTGTTCCTCCTTATTATTAAGTGAACCTTTATTTTTAGATGAAGTGCTTTAGAAAGCTGGGGAAAAAATTAGTTAATTGACAATGGAAAGGAAATAAGCACATTACATTTCTCTTAGAATTTTTCTTTAGTTTTAAGTATCAGCTCAGGCAAGGAAAACCTCTGTTAAGCCTCCTTTTCCAGGTATTTCATATGGTTACATGAGTGCTGGGTTTCATTTACAGGTGAAATACGGATACACTGTTTTGGAAAGAGAAACACCTTGCTAATTTTTTTTTTTTTTTTTTTTTTTTTTGGCTTGGAGAGGAATTAATCTTTAATGAAAGTGATATGGGTAGGTTCTGAGAAGTTGAAACTGTGCAAACCTTACTTTAGTAACTGGTTTCACCTTAAAGTTTTATTTGTTTGTTGTTTTAATTTACAGCCTTTAGGATATGGGGGGTGGCAGTTTTTCAGTGTTTTAGTGCTTTCTTGCCTGTGCTTGACTAACCCACTGCCTTTATAGCCAAGTCCTAGGTAGAGGCTAGATTCTTACCTCTGACAGCAGTATCGGGCAGCGACATATTGCTTAATGTCTCTTTAAAGTTGTGCTCTTGTGCTTTCCTTTAAAACCAAAATAAAAACTTGACTCTCGCTTCCTGATTTCCTTATAAATCCAAGATGAAAACTATAAAGCCACGGAGTCTATGGGGCTTGCTGGGAACAACGACAAAACTCATGGATTTTAGTGGATGTTAATTGTGTGCAGGAGTAAACCAGAGCTTCAGGGTTTCATTTTTTTGTTTCTTTTTTTTGGGCACACCGAAGTTTTACTAATACCTTTAGCTTGGCTTGCTAAAGAGCAAGGGCCAGGGTCTTCCTGGGGGCAGCCCCAGCCCTGGGCATCAGGCACCTCTGTGGGGACATGGATGGCCTGAGACCAGGCTGGGCTGTCAGCCCTCAGGTGGGAGTCAGGATCAGGCCCAGTGAGGGGAACCAAGGTCAAACACAACCCAGGGATCCGTAGGCAGGGCCATGCTGATTCCTCCTGTTAAATGTTACGTTGGTATCCAGCATTGTAGAGAAGTATGAAATTATACTAGTACAGATGGTCCATAAAAAAAGGAAGGACAGAAGGGCGGAAAGGAAAAGAGAGGAGAAAGAAAAGGCAAAGAAAAAGATGAAAAGGAAGGGAAAGGAATATGAGAAAACAGAGAACACAATTTCTATTTGAATCTTGAGACCTTCCATACTGCTCAACGCCCTGTCCTAGCAGTGACCGAGGCCAGCTGGGAGTGTCTAATTGACTTTAATAAGGAGGAGATTAAGGTCTACTCAGTAATTGCTTGAGAAGCTTAACAACTGAAGAGACAACGTTTGAGTTTCTAAACAGGTAAAAAGAATTGTCCGTAGAAAGAAATCAAGTAACAGACAATGAGGTTGATTATTATTTTTCAAGATTTCTGAGATGCAAGGAGGAGAAAAAGCTGTGACATTCTTTAAAGGTCAGAGGGTTGAATTTAAATTAGGAAGTAGAGTAGACTTTGCAGGGTTGTAGTGAAAGGGAGTGAATGGGAAATGAAGGAGTAAAAGTAGAACAAGTGGGACCAGCACTGGCTAGGAGAGGCTATAAAAACTTTCTGATATTTTTTTTTCTTCCTTTTTTTTTTTTTGATCCTTCGGTTTGCATTGAATGTCTGGAAACCATCCTGGAAGAGCCAGTACCATAGTACTTGGGTTACTCACTCCTGGGAAGGACATTGGAATTTTGAAATTGTCTGATTCAGACCAGAAATTAGTTTCAGCTTTTAGCATGTTTTTAAAATATCCTAGGTGTTTTTAAGTAGGTAACTCTATGACTTCTGTTTTTACTCAATTTTTTTGTCTTTATCAGAATGGACTAAAGTTCAAAACTGGCACTACTGGCAATTCGGCAATAAGCCTGTGGGAGTTTTATCAGTGAGTAGGACAAACTTTAAAGATATTTATCACTAGGAAAAGGCAGCTCAATGATATTATCAAAGCTAATACAAAAATGTGGTAAAGATGGATTTTTCAGCAGTGATATGAAGGGAAACAAAATATAGAAGCAAGAAGATCAATTTAAGCATAGCTGTAATAAAAAAAAAGTATATTGAATCTGAGGGAGAGCAAAAAATTGCAAAATGGAGCCTATTTAAAAAATAAATTATGTTAGATTCATGTTTTATGGGTGTTTCAGGTAGTTATAGTACAACTTATGGGTAACATCATCCTGGGAACATGAGTTCATTTATCCAGGGATTTTGATGAAATTATAGCTTTCATTCTGCAAAGCA